CCTCTCCCGGTCGCTTCCGCCGAATGAAAACCCCACCGCGGGCGTCATACGTGAGCGCAATGCACAGCGGTAAGCAGAAGAAGAAGAAGGATAGTGAGGGGTAAAAGGTGGCGGGGCAGTGGTACACCGTCCGAAAAACTTTTTAAGCTTTGAGGGTTGGAAATTTCCAAAAGTTTTCGGAAACATGCCGAAAAAATCCTCGTATATTTCCGGAAAATTTCCCTAAACTTCCCGAAAATGTCCGGAAAATAACGCGCTCTTCGATATGATTGTTCGAGAAATGTCTTCGTTCAAAGTGCACAGCGCGGAGTTCACTAGGAGTTTTGTTGTGGTCGTTTCGCCGCCGAGCAGTTTGTTGCTTGCCGGGAATGGAATATCAGTTTTCCCCTCCTCATCCTCGCCCTTGTGGGGCGCTCGAGCGAGGCTATCACGTCGCACTTAGCCGCGTCCAATGGGACTTTGTCCGGCGGGCCTCGAGACCAAAAATAATTCATTAATACCCCCTCATTAATTACGAACGAGATGAGGGGGAGGGGAGGACGAGGAGGAGGAGGAGGAGAGGGTCCTGTCAGGGTCTGTAATGCGGCTGGACCGAACTCGGGGGAGAGCCGAAGGAACGGGATGTTAGAGAGGGGATAGGAGGGGGGGGGGCAACTTAATCTCGCGAGGCGTCGGTGTGGTGGTCGTGGTGGTCGTGGTTGTGGTGGTGGTGGTGGGGGGCCGTGCCCCCGGCCCCCCGGCCCCCCAACCTGGTCCCGGGCCCATGTGAGGACTAGGACGAACACTGTTTTGGTTTGGCTTGATGGCCAATATTGTGGTACATGTCCTTCGTCGCAAAAAGCTATGCTTTGAGGTTGTGAACCCTTTGGGCGAATTTGTGTTGTTTTTCATTTAAAAAAAATATGCGAAAAATAAATAGTTTGGTTTGAAAACGACATAGCCTCAGCAGCAGCATCGCTGACAGACAGACAAACAGACAGACAGACAGAGGCCCCAAGAGCAGGCGGCAGCTCGATAGGCCACTATAGTCTGCGGCGCGGCGGGAAAGGGCAAAGTGGACCCCATGCTGGGGCAAACCAGGCCGAGTGGTCCAGCCAATGAGCTATGGCTGCCACGCCACACCACACCCCGCCACACGCCGCCCCGCCACACCACACCACACGCCTCGCGGACAAAAGGGCGGAGAGTCGGAGAGTCATCCCGCACCATGCTATTTCCATACATATGAATACAAAAGTCACTCTCGACCTTGTTTCCTCTTCGCTCTCTCTCTCTCTC